TTTTCTTACAACACTAGTAAATATAATCCAATTACAAATATGGATCTAGCATGGGCTCTTTGGACTCAAACTTATCTAAAAGCCCATGATCCAATCAAATCAACGATTGTTTGGATTGCTGTGTAACCCTGCCCTCTTCTTCCAACAAATGCTTGCCACTCAGCCCTCGGTATGCTCCCAAGTATACTTGTAAATGTGATCTGTTTGCCAGAACCAAGGGTCTTTTTGTAGAAACCTTCATGAACAACGGTGGTTTTTTTTTTATGGTTGAGCCTATACATGTCAAACCAAAAAGCCCAATTAGAAATATGGATCTTGAATGGGCCCTTTCGAGTCAAACTTGTCCAAAAGCCCATGATCCAAAATGGCTTCATTCATAAGTGCCCAAAAATTGGGCCGTCTCTGTTATTACCCACACCAATAGATGAAATTACCAAATCGCCACAAAATAACACAGCGAGAGAAAGAGAGAGAGAGAGAGAGAGAGAGAGATGCAGAAGAGAGAGCAAGGGAAGCAAGTCGGAGCGTCGGGTGGTTCCGCCACCCGGCGACGAAGAGAGGCCGTCCATTCGGCAGTGGAAGCAGCAACGCGGCCGCTGCTTCTGCCGCAACCGCAGCCGATTCGGTTGCTCCACCCACACTCCTTGGCCCTTCTCTCCAAGTCCACTCCTCCTTCGCCGGTCAGTCACCATCCGGACCCTAGATTTTTGATTGTTAACTACTAGATCACCTTAAATGACTTGATTTTCTTGTTGCGACTAGTTGAATTGTCAACATTTTGTGTAATTTTTATGATAAGTTTTTCATATGTAATTATGGTGACGAAATGTGTGTGTTTGTTGGGGGGGGGGGGGGGTTACTAAATTCCATCTTTTTGTTTGTATGTGTGTGTGTGTGTGTGAGAGAGAGAGAGAGAGAGAGAGAGAGAGAGAGAGTTTGGATTTTTGGGAAAGACTTATTCGCTGGCACTGGAGAGTTTTTTCTTTTGGTTGTTGCTCACAGTGGAGAGTTAGAATGGATATATTTAGCTGTTTTTTTTAGTGAATACTGGATACATAGCAAATAGTGCTCTGGAGAGTTGGAATGGACATATTTAGCAGTTTTTTTTCTTAATACCGAACATTTAGCAAGTAGTTCCTTTCAACACCCCCCTCCCTCCTTTATTTCCCGGGAAATAGGTAAAAAGTAATTGAGGATATTTTATATATGCTAGTAATTTATCTAAATATTCTCCTGAGTGAGTATATTCCTGCTACAAACTGCTCTATTGTAATTGTGCCCCATATGTTATGGGAAGTGGGGATTAGGCCGGGGATAATATATTTAACTATCAAATTGAGGTGCTTATTGGGCATACAGTGCTTTATTGATTTTGTTGGCAAATCATCACTTGGCTACTACTTGTGTTTGCCTTGCATTTTGAAAAACTTTATATTCTTTGTATCTATTTTGTTCACTTACACTTTTATCAGGTAAGTTACCCCTATTCTGTCTGTTGTCTTTCCCAGATCAAAATAACAAAAGGATAGTTCTGGCTCTTCAGAGCGGATTAAAAAGTGAGCTGACATGGGCATTAAATACTCTTACACTGCTCTCATTTAAAGAAAAAGATGAGGTGCGCAAAGATGCAACTCCTCTTGCAAAAATACCCGGATTACTAGATGCTCTTCTTCTAGTGGTATGTCGTGTTTTTCTTTGCAATGTTCAAAATTGTATGCTTGTTTGGAGTCTTTTTGAATTAGAGCGTTCACCTTAGAATGATATCAATAGTAAATTTTTTGGGAATGCGCATAGATTGATGATTGGCGTGATATAGCCCTACCGAAGGAGCTTGTAAAGAAGCAAAGGGTGAGACTGTTGGGTGCTAATTCTGTTGTTACTGGATTTGGGAATGAATATGAAGTACTGAACTCAAATGATGTTGTTCCCCGTCCTAGGTAAGTTTAGCATAATCATGTCTTGAAAGCCTATAGTTTGTAATGAAGAATAAATCGGAATTTGGGATGATCTTTTTGTTGCAGCCTGGGATCTGATTCTTCTGTTATAGAGACACCGGTGCAGAAGAGTACAACAAAGCATCATCCTGCAGCGTGGTGGTTTGATGAAGATGGCCTATTTAATCTGGATGACGAAGGGCGGGCAGAAAAGCAGCAGTGTGCTGTTGCAGCTTCAAATATTATCCGTAATTTCTCTTTCATGCCAGAAAATGAGGTCATAATGGCTCAACATCGGCACTGCTTGGAAACAGTGTTTCAGTGTATCGAAGATTACGTTACAGGTGAGAAGTGTATTTATTGTCATCAAAACCTTGTATCATTGTAATCATCACCGCTCGTTTGTTGTGGACGTTTAACATCTCATCTGTATTAGTTTCTTTTCCTTAAAAATTTAAAATTTTAATTATTCATATTGTTTTAGTATGCTTAGGTGTGTAACATAGAGGATATTTGAAGTAATTTTCAATAATGTGGTTGCTGAGTAGTTCTCTTGGAAGTGATCTTGCTTGCTGTACACGCCTGTAACCACCGAAACGGAACTGAAAATCTTGTCAGGGTTATACTTATAAAAGCACAAGAAGTAAAATGCGGATGGACCTGAAACCATGAGGCATCCTTTTGTGACTTTTTAGGGTTTAGGGTTTAGAGGATATTTCTTTAGACTCTCAGATCATGGATGGTTTTAGTGGACAGGGCTCAAGCCTAAAATGACTGAGGTCTAGCTGAATTGCACAACATTGAAAGTAGAGTATCAAGGTCTTCATGTTGGAAAGATTTAGACCTGTTTGATGCTTTATTGCCCTGGATAATTTTTCTGAGAATTTTTTGAGCCCGAAGATCTAAGGATTGAATATGTGGAACACTGCTTAGAATCTGAGAAGTCAAAGGATGAAGTTGAGTTTAGAAATATTAATCTTAGGGAAGATTTATTCAAATTCTCTACTCTTCCTCACCCCTGTCCCAATGGTTGCCACTCCATTTGATTATGAAACTAGAAGACTTCATCAAAAGTACATAGTGCCTAGGTTAATGGGAAACAAAAGGAAATGACTAGTCATATGCTTTTGACAGAAGCTGAAGTAATTTTATGTGATCTAGGGTTTCCAAAAAACGAGGGCATGTTGCTCAAATATTGATCTATGCTAGATGTAGCCTTTCCACCAGGAAAGATGCCTAATATTTATAATGCCAGACATGAGATACTGGTTGTGTGAATTGATTGATGTCCTTTCTTAATAAGTGCAATATGTTGTGAAACAACTCAGTGTTGTAAAACTCGTGCCTATTCTTAAGGCGACTTTAGGTGCATCCTTTCCTTTTGTCTCAACTAGAGGTGAGGTGACTTTGCTTAGGCATGCCCATTAAGCTCAAGGCGCTAAAGTGCTCGTTTTTTTCCTTTCCCTATAACGATGTACAGAAATACCTTAATGTTCATCTATTGCATAATTATGAGTTTAAATTACCTGAGGACTCATGCTAGTTAATCATTTTCTCTGACTATCTCTCCTCCTTATGTTCATCTATCACATGCAGCAAGGTGTGTCTGCTACCTCCTCCTTTTGTTGCGTATTATTGTCACTTTTTTTTTTAGGATTGGTGGACTTTAGCCCTGAGAAATTTTTTTTTTGTTGCTTTTTCTCACTTTCTTAGCACTCTTTACTTTCGTGTTATGAGCTAGTAAGTAATGGTTTATACGTTAGTTTCTCTGCGCTATAACTTCATTGGGAAATATATTCTGATTGTTTTGGATGCTGTATGATTTTTGGATACTTATTTGATACTTGTAATTTTTATGCGTTGCTTGAAAAGTTTGCCAATGATAAAATATTTGCTTTTTATTTGTAATGTTTGTCTCGCTTCGATGAAGCTCTCACATTTCGCCGGGCCCGAGAGACACTTAGCAACTCTGTTCGATTTGGCCCTTAAATAACCTGGAATTGCCAATACTTAACCCTTTGTTGCTTGGTGATGTTATTGGCTTCTAATTTGCAATGTCTGCCTTGCATCATCTTGCCTTTGGCCTAAGCCCCAGAGATCCTTAGTGTCTCGGTTCGCTTTGCGCCTTCAGTAACATTGAAACAGCTGGTACTCAACTTTTGGTGCCTAGTGACTTTATTTCAGAGTGTCTTTTGTCTCTACCTCCTGGATTAATCCATTTGGCTATTTCACCATTATTGAACCTATGATTTTATCTGTTCAAAAAAAAAGAAAAACCTATGATTCCAAAGATTTGGTGAAGAAATAGGAAAGTTTTAATAAGTTTGTCACTTCTAGTGATTCTCTATGGAGACACATCTTTAATGAATATTTTATTTAACCTTGCTGGTGCTGCGTCATGTTTTTCACAAAGAGTGATCTAATAAAATGCTTATCTATTCTGCCGCAAACATGCATATTTATGTTTCCCTTTTACACTCTATGTTAAAAGATTCGGAAAATTGAGTTTCTATCTTCTCTGAATGACCACCAGAGCGTTCTTATCTAAACATTCCTTGGTAATGGAAAGCTTCTCTTGAACTTGTCATACTTAGCAATGGAAAGCCTACTTGTATATATAACTTTTCTTTTTTATTGCCCTACGTTCTTTAGAAAAGGACTCCATTGCAATTCTCCCTTTGGGAATGAACCTCTTAGACCAATTAAGGAGAAGCCTTCTCCGCCTCCCCCCACCCTCTACCAAAACCAAACACCCCTTTTCTTTCTTTTTGTTCTTATGTTTCTGCTTCTCATCTTCCCTTTGTGGATACTGGTTTGTGGCTAGATATGGGTGGTTGCCTCTTCTCAAGCTTCTAAATAATTTTGATGTGATCTCCATTGCTTTTTATGAGAATCCTAGATAATTTTGCAACTCACTTACTACCAATGGACATGGACAAGTGACATAAAATATGTTGGGATTTACACCATCGTGCTGCTTTTTTTTTTCATGTTACCAGCACACTGTCATAGGGCTGCAATATAGATAATTTTAATGCTTTGGTTATTTTAGGCCTATCAATGCTGTAGGAGTTGTATCTAACTTTCTTACTATGGGATTTGAATATGTTTTTTAAAATGTAAGATTTTAATAATTTTGTTTCAAAGAACTGTAGAATATAATATTCCTTTGTTACTGATCTACGTATTGCCCAAGAATCTTTCTTTAGTAATGTCACTGTCAGCAGTGCTTCTTATAGTTTTCAATGATAACAGAGGATGAGGAACTTGTTACAAATGCTGTTGAGACGGTTGTGAATTTGGCCCCATTGCTTGATCTTCGAATCTTTAGCTCATCCAAACCTTCGTACATCAATATAACGTAAGAGATCTGTCTTGTTATTTTACTTCACCACATGCTACATGATTTCTAAATATAAGAACTGTTGTACCTAGTGCATTGGCTTCCTTTCCAGGTCTAGGAGGGGTAAATGGTAGGCAATATTATTCACATTGTATAGAGGCTAATTTGTGCACATGCTGTCGCCCTAGGTCCAACCTCTATCATTATTTCTAAATTCATTCTTAAATTGGTTTTTCTTCTGATTTCACCAAAACAGAGAGAAGCGTGCTGTCCAAGCCATCATGGGGATACTGGGATCTGCTGTCAAAGCCTGGCATTGTGCAGCTGCCGAATTACTGGGGCGCTTGATAATAAATCCTGATAATGAACCTTTTATTCTTCCTTTTGCTCCGCAGGTTAATGTTGTTCCACATATGGTCTCTTTTTAAAAATATGTCCTCCTTTATATTATTTGTATGGACTAAAGATTGTAAGAATCGTTTGGAGTCTGCAGATGTACAAGCGTTTAGTTGATCTTTTGAGTCTTACAGCTACTGATGCACAAGCAGCTGCTGTTGGTGCACTTTATAACCTTGCAGAAATTAATATGGACTGTCGATTGAAGCTTGCCAATGAGCGATGGTGAGATACCCCAACCCAACCCACCAATATTTGTATTCAGATATAGACATAAACATTAAGATTTTCACATGATAAGTGTTGCTGAACAAACTATTTTTACACTTCAGGGCAGTTGATCGACTGTTGAAAGTGATTAAGGCACCACATCCGGTGCCAGAAATTTGCAGAAAGGCGGCAATGATATTGGAGAACCTTGTCTCTGAGCCACAGAACAGGTCCCAGCTGCTAGCTTATGAGAATGCATTTGCAGAGATACTTTTCTCAGATGGAAGATATTCTGATACATTTGCCAGGATACTATACGAACTGACATCTCGACCCAGCAATAAAGTGGCGACAGCTCGCGGTATTTGGGGCATGTAAGTGCAAACCTGCTTTTATTTTGATTTTTTTGGATTTGTGTCTTAATAGCATTCAAGAAAATTGGTAGCTGATTCTCCTAATGTGTAAGTGAACATATTTGCTAACTCGTATATGTACCAGTCATATTTGCAAGCAATATTCCCTTTTATGTTAGCTGTGTGCATTCTGGGCACAGATGGGGGCACTGATATGGATATACTCTTTTAACTAATGATGGATATTGTTTGCAAAATTCCAATTTTTTTTTTTTTTTTTTTTCCGGTCTCGTTACTCATGGCTTCAATGTGCTTTTCTTTTCCTTCAGTTTTTTTGTGTCCCATGGATAATAGTTTATATGATTTTTGCCTTCTTGTTTTGTGATGTTATATCATGAGGTATAGGATTATTTAAAATTTCTGTCACTGAAGTAAGCGGCGATTATCAAATTGGCACCTAAAGTGTCAATTTTGGCAATTATGTCCCCTATTGTTTGACAATTCCTATTGTTTAAATAGATAAATAAGAAAACAAACAATAAATTACATAATTCTACCAATTAATCATTTACATCTCACTCATACTTTTCACACAATAATTTCATTTGATTTCTATTGCAAATTACTTACGACCGCTTCAATATTTTATGGTGCAACATTAACATATATAACCCCAATTGAAATTGATAACTACTGCTAAAGAACCCCTAGTTAAGGCTTTGGGCACATGAACAGGATAGTCATCAGTCTCATCCATCAAAGGATTCTTCTCCTTAGCTGGATCAACGATCTGCAGCGCTCGCCAAACAACACTATTACATTTGAAACGTGACCCGAACGAAATCTGCCATATGCAGTCACCCTCCTCTTAGCCTCAGAATAGGCCAGCTCATACCACAATGAACTACTAGAAGTATTACCAAACCTGTAGAGAGTCATTCTTGAAGGCTCCATGTGCCATTCAGTTAGGTTGAGGTTCTTTTCTATCTCGTTGAGCACTGCTCTTCCTCCAGGATGGATGCAAAATGCTCGAAAGTCAACTTGAAATCTGGAATATATTGCGTACATGGCATGGGGTGACCAAATAATGGTATACAAGCTTCACATATTTGAGTCTCACGGAGAGATGATAGTCTGGAAGCTAATTGGTTATGTTCTCAGGTGAAACTTCAACTGAAACAGGCTTAGTTGCAGGGTTAGGCTTCTTGTCATCCGCCATTGTTGGTTACAAATCTGAATGAAATCCTTTGATAATCCTAAACAGGACCCGTCATTCCGATACGAAAAAGTTAAAAAAGTATAGGATTTTAGTCTAATAACTTCTGTTCATTACCGGATTGATTTGGTAGTCCCGTTTAATAACTAGGTCAATATAAACCAAGCTATAAACAATACAGATCTGATTATGTGTGATTATATACAAGACGAACTTGATTATACGCTAACATCGACATAAATTGTATAAATTTTGCCACAAAACAGAAACCAGACATGATGTGATCTTTTATTATAAACCATAGTCTGACTATTGATTGTAAGGAGTTGCCTTCAATACCGTCTTTTTACTCTTTGTTATGGTATTGAAAAGTAAAGGCTTTATTTGCTTGCCATCTATCCATAAAAAAAACACTAAAAAACTCAATCATTTCATCATCGGTATATAATGATTTTTTGGGCTAACGAACCACTGTTTTAGAAAAAATTGTAACTTTTGGTTAAGCTAACCAACTTTTGGGTGGTAAGTTATCACCTTTTGGGTTAGATTAATATTTTTTGGGAGTAAGATTACTATTTTGTGGGGTTAAGTTACTATTTTTTGGGGTAAAGTTATTATTTTTAGGGGTAAAAAGAAGCAATGTTTTAGGATAACTTACATTTTTTGGATAATTTCACCATTTTTTTGGTCATGACTACCTTTTGGGCTAGATTACCATTTTTTAGGAAAAAGATTACCACTTTGTAGGGCTAAATTACTACTTTTTAGGTCAACTTATCTCTTTTTAGGATAAGATTATTATTTTTTGGGAATGCTTTGTCACATTTTGGGGGTAAAATACCTGGGTAAGTTCACCACCTTTTTGGGTAAGTTACTACCTTTGGGGCAAACGTTATACTTTTTTGGGGTAAATTGTCACGCTTTGTTGATGTACACTTTTCCAGTACATAACCGATCATGACAAAGCATGATTGATCATGATTTGACAATTTTATCTTTAAAATAGGATTGTTGTGTTAATTTAGATCTTAAAATATCAATTTTGTTAATTTTATCTTTAAAGTATTTAATTAAAATCACATTAACACATTTAATCTATCAAATTAACATTCAAATTTAACTAATTAACATTAAATTCAATCCAATTAATATCTAATTCATCAAATTAATACCAAATTAACATTCAATTCATCAAATTAACATCTAAATTAACATTTAATTCATCAAATTAACATTCAAAATCATCTAGTAAATGTTCAATTTATCAAATCAAATACTTTTTCTTGAATAAAATAACATATTACTAGATCTATTTCTATATCGATTATGATATATATAATAATTCGGACATCTATTTGAAGTGCATATCTCATTTTTGCACAACAAGGTTATGAAAATCCACGATAAGCGACTGGGAGTATTGTATGTGCAAATTGTCATTTACCTAATAAACCCGTCGATATTGAGGTTCCACGAGCAATACTTCATGATACTGTATTTGAAGTAGACATTTTGCTTTCATTTTCAATTGGACGATTCATTAATCCAACTAGTGGACAGTTATAAATGTATCAATTTTTTTGACTTCCATCGGAGATTAGGAATAGATGAATTTTTTATCAGGGCCATTTGACTAACGGGATTCATTATTACTTTAGCTACTTTAGCGGCTTGGCCAAGTACTTGAGATTATCGATTATTTTTTTAAAAAAATACACAAGAAACACACAGAATGATCGGAAAAATATATTGAATTTGAGTAATCTACTATTCAAAATTCTTACTGATATTTGTTTTTTGAAAAATAATTATATTGTGGTATCCAAATTTAACTTCAATTAATAGATTTTTTTTTATTACTCAAAGTTTAAATGCAAAAACTGAATAAGTAGTTTTACATCACAAATATGAGACAAATAATTTTTATATGAATATATATTAATATTTTCTCATTCACTTTTTTTTTCAAATCATTCTTTTGCCGATTGTTGTTAGAAACATAGGAGAGAACTCTTCCACTATTTAAAATTTCATATATATAGACATCTTTATAGTCCAAACTAAATTGGATTTAAAATGATTGCGAAAATTCTTTCTTTTGAGCTTATATTGACAATTTACATGGCCGAATGTGGAGGGTCTCACGACTCACAACAAAGGCCTCTCCTATTGGTGTATAAATAGAAATAAAAATTAATCATAATATTTATTTAATCATATCTATATTATTATTATATTTTATTACAATGTGGTCTCACTAAATATTTTTGCCTAAACTCCCATATTTGTTGGTCGCCCCTGATTTAAAGGACATATGCACAGCCCATCAATAAAGGCCCCTGATTTAAAGGACTTATGCACAGCCCATCGATAAAGGTCCCTGATTTAACGGACATATGAACAGCCCATCAATAAAGGCCCCTGATTTAAAGGACATAAGCACGGCCCATCTATAAAGGCCCCTGATTTAAAGAACATACGCACAGCCTCTCAACAACCTATTTTGCAAGTTTGTTATTACGGGAAGTTCCTGCAGAGGATCGGATTAATGGCGTATATAATACTTAAATTTTTGATGGAGATGTTACATAATTGGTTCTTATCCATGTTTATGAATTTCAAAACGTTGTTTTGTATCTTGAAAGATATTTTGATTCTCAATTTATACTCTCAAACATTAAAAATATTAATTTATACCCTTAATATTATAAATTGATAACAATGTCGATCTGACCTAGACTGCCGTTTATTTTTTCGTTATAAATTGAAGCACCTAACGTGCAAGTGTTTCGGGCATGAGAATGAGGTATGTCCATTGTTGTAGCTCTTCGTTTGCGAACAATTTGATACCGTTTTATGTATTAAAATTAAAATTTTATTAATCAGACAGAAACTAATCGTATTACGTGCAATTCATATGAGGCTCCAATAATATGTGAATTTATAAATAAGCCTATTCCTAAAGTATTTGCAACTCATGAGTTTTAACGAAAAATTGAAGGCAGTCTAAGCAAAGTCCACATTGATACCAAAATGTCTTTCGAGATACACAATAAGATTAACCATATTTCTAAAGAAGTATTTATTAAAAAAAAAAATACTTTATAAGAAAATCACTTTCATCAAATGACTGTTATTGATGTTTGAAAAAAGAATTTAATGAAAAAATATGTTATACTTTTTCTTTTTTCTTTTTATTTGGATAACTAATATATTGGCAAATAAATACACGCTGTGATGGTGATTATGGTGGTGGCCGGTGATAGCACGGTGGTGGCGGTGTGGTGGCTACGTCGATAATATCATAATAGCAATGGGATGGCTACCAAAGATAAGTCTTCCTCTTGGGATAACCACCACAGATTTACTCCAAAAATTGTCCAACACAACCCTTATCTTGTAAGAGAGAGCATCTTTTTTAATATATTTTCTTTTGTTTTTGGTTAGATCATTTACCGTGAATTAAATTGTTTGGTAGACGTATTATGAGAGAATTAAATATTAAATTATATTATTTTTTATTTAATCATGTCTAATACTTTGTTTAGTAAACAAATTTGATACCATATTAATTTCAAAAATGTATACTAATCGTATATTTTTTATACGATATACTTATATTATACATGTATTTTAATACCACAAAGAGAGGTGGTATTATAATCCAACTCAAATGTATTATTCTACACATTTACTATTATAATCCACCAACTGATAAAATCATGTTGTCATAAATATAACAAATACTGATTGAAGGTATTTTTGTTAATTCAACATTAATAAGATGAAATAATTCGCTAATCAGACAATCAATTGAATTAAATAACTATTATTCAATGTTTATGTTGTGTATTCACAAACATTAGATAAAATTATGTATAATTCTAATACACTATTTAATTTTGTCTTTTGTTAATCTATATTGTATTAGACTGGATTACTTTATCTAATCTATCTATTTCTAATACGATAACCAAACAAACCCATTGCATTTAACTTCCTCACCCATACATGGGCGACCTATTAAAGAGGGAATGGAGAGAGAACCATTGAATCTTTCTTTAATTCTAGTGAGTAAGAATGGAGTGAGATCACATTCAATACATTTTCTTTCTGTCTTTCTTCTTGGTGGATTATTTATCGTGAATTCAAATAGGACACATTACATATAAGTAGGTTTCTCACTCATGAATGACAATTAATTTGCCAAGAAAGTAGATGGATAAAAAAAATATTAAAGGAATTTAGATCCGAAAAACACTCAATCAAGATGGTTGATTGTGGTGATCTATATTAGGGCCAAAGAAGTCTAACAACTTAAATGCATGATTTTAACATGCAATTAATAACATTGGCATGTCTCTGTCAATTGGTAAAACACTAGGATGAATCTGTGCAAAACATGTCCTTTTTAAATTCAAGGGAGACCCATTTGATATAAATGGATCGCACACTCATGAATGACAAATGATTTGTCAAGAAAATAAATCAAGAAAAAAAAATATTAGAGCAATTTAGATCTGAAAACTACTCAATCAAGGTGATCTACATAACTTAAATGCATTATTTTAATATGCAATTTATTTACTTTGGCGTGCCTCTGGCAATTGTTGAAGCACTACTGCATTAGGACGAAGCCGTGCAAAACACGTCTTTTTTTAAATTCAAGTGGGATCCATTGGATATAAGTGAGTCCCTCAATCTTGAATGACAAATGATTTGCCAAGAAAATAAATGAAGAAAAAAAGTATTGGAGGGGGTAAGATCCAAAAAAAAAAACTCGATCAAGGTTGTTGATTGTTGTGATCTATATAAGGACCATGAGAAGTCTAAGAACTTAAATACATGATTT